GCAATTTCTAGAATCAACCTCTTTGAGAAAATTTTTTCGAAATTGAAATATGCGTATTTGTATTGAAAAACAACAGCCTCAAGGTTCGTGAATAATTTCCAGTCAATCTGGAACGCAATAAACATCGGCTTCGCATGACATCTACTGACCCTACTCTATATTTACAAAGCAGACGTCATTGCGGAAGCGTTTTGTCAATAACTGTCTTTGTAATGTAAAGATATGGTCTGTGTTCTGGTGTAAAGCCCCGCAAACGAACTGTTCTTTACCAATAACGTGTTGATTTCCAGATTGAATCTCCGAACAACTAGTTGCTGCTACAGTCGAGAAAATTGACTCGGTTCATCACTTTCATTTATCATCTATTCCAAACAAACATGAAACACGAAAGATTGAACTGTTCCATTGTGTTAAAATGAATTTTCTGATTAACCTGTAGCGTCACTGACGTGGAATGCACACTTTCTAGAATCAACCAGCAAACTCTGTCACAGAGGTGTGTAGGCAGTCATTTGTACGTCCTGATTAGTTGCGAAATTGTGTTCCATGTTGAATAAAGTCTTACCCGTATCCAGAGCTTTGAATTGGATTCTCACTGACTTTCCTTTTCTTTGTATATTTCCCGATTTCAGGCGTGTTGCTTAGTACCGAGAATCCCCTTCCATCGATGGAACTTGACGTGTCCTTGTCTCCGAGTGCGTCTGTGCAACCCGACGCAACCACCCCGGTCCAAACGTCTGATCCGGAGGATGGCCTGAGCGTGCCTGCCGGCAGCCTCTCGACGAAGCTGCTCGACTTCATCCGCTGCTCCGTGCAACAGCGCCAGCAGACCGGCAGTCCCCAGAAGGGCGGTCGAAAGAAACGGCACTTCGGCCTGCAGGACCTCTGCCTCATCCAACGCGTCGAAGGCGAGTTGCGGAGGGCTTTCGCCACCGCTGGCACGCCAGTCCGTGCATGGACGCCTTCGACGAGTTTGCTCAAACCAACCTCCGGTGGGCAGCAAGCTTGTTGGATTCGTGGCCGTCCGCTCGCTTTGAACGGCTTCCAGCGCATGCTCGTCCACGCTACCGCCACCTACCTAGGCCTGCATTCCTTCAGTGAGTACCCACAGTTATCGTTCTGTGCACTTTCGAACAGTTGTTGGTAAATCGAGTGGTACGATATGGAGAGGTAAGAGAAGGCACACAGCCTCCACTAGGTAAATGGACTACTTCGGACGATGGCTGCGGTTGTTTGTTCCAGGACTGCTTTGCGTGGCCGTGATCGTGTGATCCAATGGTATCGTTCTGTTAGGTAGACCTCTCTAGCGGCCCCGTTGATTCGCCATTGTCGCGATTAACGGAGTCTTTCACCACGAGTAGGCGGTTTGGTACCACGTGCGTTCTTGGAAAGTGTGCATTTTCGACCTAGACTCGAGAAATGCTAGGGGTAGAGGTGACTAATTTTGCTTGCTTCAATCGTCTGGCCCCCCAAAGCTGTCTTCCTTAATTTGACTTGGGCTTGTAGCGTTATTTTGAATTGCTGTTGTCGTTACTACACCATTAACGCTGTATTTGCCTTCAAACGTCTTACTTTTATAGAGGTTAGCGTATTCGAGCGGAGTAGAACTTGAAGAAAGTTGTGAATTTCGTTTGAAGTATCGCTTTTTTTGAAACAGCCTACGACACCAAGACTCGAGAGTTGGTGTCCGCAGCAGTTGTCGACAGATGCCACCCCATAAGAGGGTGTTACGTTTGCCCGTAAGCAAGAAAAACCCACTCAGATAAACGGTACCAGATCCCTTGTCTGACGCTAGAACCGACCTTTTCACGCTAATGCAAGGCATGACCAGAGCTCGTGCAGAGAGCTTTAATCGTCTCAGCCGAAGGGCGAGTGATCTGGCCTTGACATGATGGTTGAAAGCTGACTAACCCAGATGTTAGGAAATTAGTGTAAATAATGACAAAACCGGCGATGAGTCATCTTGGGGCGCCCTGGATCCCCAACAGAGGACTTCGATCCGACGCTACAACTTGTGGGAACAAATCGAGTGGTGCGATATCCCAGATGACCACGGTTCCCTGCTTGGTTTCTTGCCCTTCCACTGGCTACGTCTGACGTCACGAAATTCACCACCACCACCACAGCCTCACAGGCGACAGTCAGAAGTGCTTTGTGCGGTTGTCTTAACGTGTTATCAAACTGCTCGTCTGTAACCACGTGCTTAACCACATGACGTAGTGTGCAGCCTGCTTCCATCCGCTACGCCGGTATCGCGTCATGTGGGCCCGTCAATTGCAATCCACTTTATCGTGGACTCTTCTGGACTCGTGCTAGGCGCTTGAATGTGGTCAGTGACTTGCCAAATTTCCACACATTTCTGTGCGGCTCGCAAAAAACTGTGCGCGTTTAAGGTATTAGCAATGGTCAATATCCAAGGAAAGGAACTGATTGGTAGTCAGCGGAGAACCAATCAGGAGTAAGACGAAATTGCAACGGTTTAAGTCCGCCCGTTCGTTATTATTCGTTGGCTGTTTTTGAACATTCAAGGCAGTCCTGTTTCAGCATTGATGTACTGGGTTGCCCAGGATCTACCCACGATTCTTTTCCCTCTGGAATTCTTTTAAAAACTAATTTTTATCAGTTGTCACAATTTTTCTCAAGAAATTCTTTTTTTTGTTGCCGCCGGGCGAGCAGTGAAAGGCGTGTGTTTCTCTACGTTTGACCCAGGTTGTGTTCGGTCAACACATGTGAGGTAACTAAACTTCCAAGTTTTTGGATTTCGTTCATTTGCTGTTTGTGTGACTCCTGACAGATCTGCAAGCACGTGTTGCGTTTGCGTTGAGTCTTCAGCCAGTAGAACTTGCGATTGCGCATCTTCAAGCCTTCCAGGTTGGAACGGCCGGTCACTAAGATCGAGATCACCGCGTCTAAAGCGTTTGTACTAATAACTACACGTTTCATAAAACACCAAGAACACTAAATATGAATTCTTTTCGTGCTTTAGAATCACAGTTTCCGTCTTGGAATTCGTGTAAAATGCAGTGCAGCCGAATGTGCTGTTTATCAGTTGCCATCGTCGTAAACACTGCTATTGTGTGAGGTTATGCAACTCGCGTTGACTTGTCGTTTGGTGTTCCGAAATTTTGTGTGTGATCCTTTCAAAACCCCAAAAGACCGCGGAAATGTTTCTATCTGAAAAAGTCTGTAGAATTAAGTCATAGACTTAATACTTAATATCGGAAGGAAGAAGCTGATTGGTAATGCGCAAAGGACCAATCAAGAATGAGACGAAATACCAGGTGTTAGAGTGCATCCGTTCTCTGGCAACCCTGGTTCTTTCTGGAGTTAATTTATGGCGAAATTATGAGTTAAATAAACCCGTTCGGTTATGCCTGCGTGAAATCCGGTAGAAATTGGTGAATGTGCCCTGCAAATAGTGCGCCGTAGGTTGCTTATGACCTAGCGAACCGAGAGTTGTAAATTACCCGTCGATCCACACACCCCACGCATTACAAATGACCATTGTTAAGTCCCCGCACACGGCCTGGTTTGAGTTGTAAGCGTGTGGTGAATTGAGGAGCCATGAAGGCTTTTTGGGGTGGGTCGTGTGTGCGCGTGGCACACACGTTGAGTGTCTGACGCACATCTGTGGCACACTGCATGCGCTCTCGAGGCTGGCAGAAGTGAGCGGATGACAGGCGATGAGTCATTGTCACCGTCAGGCCAGTAAGCAGGGTTCGCTCAGGCGCGATCGCTGTTAATCCGCTGGAAAGTCTTCACCAGGCGTAGTTGTCAAGGCGACCCGTGTAATGCCTCATGCAGTTGCCATTCCCGCCCGCGTACTCTCCAACATCTGTCCTCGATGACGCAGTGTTGTCTTAGCCAGCTGTCAAAGCCACCACCAGCTCCAGAAGCGAGTCGATAGCAGCTTACTTAACGCAAGCAATCCCAATCTTTGCCCTCCCCCCCTCCCCCCTCCAGGCACCTGGAATGCCTCCTTCGTGGATCGCCAACTTTGGGTGGAGAACAGAGGCGAGGCGGTTTGCCCCCCGGAGCAGCCTCTTGTGGTTGCCATCAGGTCTGCGATCGAGAAGGCCGCTGCCACCTCCTGAAGTCGCATTTTTTTGTTCTCATCCAATTGGTTTTTGGGACCAACGACATGCCAGCGTTTGTCAGGCATTAACCCCTACTGTATTGTATTGTGATCTGTCGTCGTCACCTAATTGCACCTTGGTATTTAGTACGCCTCTAGTGTGAATGCAAAGTGAAACAGAAATGCTGACTTCTGCGTCACTGCCTGTGAGTTTACAACGCACTGAATAAAGGCGTGGTTGATTGGGAAATGCATCCGGTGCAAACAGGCGCCATTGGCTTCAAATAAAATGCTTTTAAGACGCGTTATTTCTTACCTAATATGCTGCCTTCACAACCAGAACAGCTAGTGTTGTTTTGGGAGAAAAATATTTCTACGGATGGAACTAACAGGCAGTTAAATGCCTAGGATGGGCAGACAAATTTACGCATCGATCACTACCTACTTAGTCATATTTAGTAGACGTTAAATACTGCTTTATTCGCAAGGCGTAGACCTGGATTGCAACAAGCTCCATTCACCTTGAAATTGGTCGAGATAAACAAACGGTTTTGCTTAACAGGCGCTGAAGGCGATTGAGAGGAAACGATTTCGGTCTGATTCAAGGACGCAGATTGTCTCGCTATCGTGTAATAATGCTTGGTTATTAAAGTAATTTTAATGAATGTGAAGTTTGTGGCGTTGTTTTTATCCCCTGCAAAAGACAAGCAAACCGTTTGCTGATTCTGACGGCAACGAATGCGTAGGACATACGGTGGTAAAAGCCACAGTCTTGGACACGCACACACACACAATCATCCTGAAGGCATTCCTTCACGCCTTTGATGTGTCTAAACGACGTTCATTATTTGCGGGAAGTCTTCATAATGCGTCGTGAGTCAAAGTGACCTTGAATTAGGTTCGTTTAAACAAATTTGCGTGCGGGATTGATACTCAAAAGTGGCCGAGACAAGATTGTCTTCTCCGTCAGGATGCGTTAACTAAACTGAGACAGCATCATTAAATATTCAAGATGTTTATATTGGTCTTAGGGCTGTCTTTTGGGTGGTCTTTGAATTTAGTAAACAAATTCTGCACGTTTTGACAAAACGAAGCAAATTAAGCCGTGTTTCCTCTCGTTTCAAGACTCACCTCGCCTTACCTTGGTATTTCACAAAGTCGTGGCCTTGTTGGCTGGCAATTCTAACCAGCCAGACTTGAGTGTAGAGACCTCGTTCGTTCCTCTAAGTGAAAGTACTCGTTAAGCCGTTAGAGGCTAGGTTTGTAGGGCTGGCAAAAGCTTTCACTATGGCCCGATCACGTGGCGTTTGCGTTTGACATCGGAAAACACTCACACAACCAAGTCCAGGTGTGGAGGCGAGTGACGCGTAAAACTGAGGCCTCACCTAACAATGCCGATTGGTTTCAGTTACTGTGGTAACGAAGTTGTGAATATCCCTAGCCAGTCGGCTGCCCAAACACCGCCGGAGGGACAACCACCAACTGCCCATGGACCTGGTGACACATCGCAATAGGTTAGGCCCAACCACTTTATGGGAGTTTGGCTGCTGCTTTAGTCACTGCAATCAGGGGCGAATCGCTTGCCTGGAGGTTGCTTCAAGTTCTAAGCGCGAGTCCTTTCCGTGACTTGCCAGAATCGCGTCCATTCTTGCATTTCACGGTCACAGAAAACGCAGGTCAGCAGCCAGGTAGGCCGCCAGGGTCGATAGCACTAACTCCTTGACGCTGTCCCCACCTTGATCAGCAGGAAAGTAATTCGTGTACACGTGCAGTCCCATGTTGAAAAACGCAGCTACTCAGTCGTCGAATCGAGCCCTTGTGCAAGCAGGAGACTCTATTGCTTACATTGAAGTTTTGTGAATGATAAAAGTTAAACGAGGTGCAATAGGAATCGGCTGTATTGAATCAGCAAAACATGCTTAGTGTGGGATAAGGAATAAAACTCCCAAGTGGCTTTATAATGAAGCGGGTGTGGTAGAGATATTGTTCCGGAACGTGCCTTCTTACCAGACAGACTAATGAAGTTCTAATCAGCTGTCGGATTTTTTGTGTGACGGGAATATGCCGAAATTCATATGCTAGCTATTTAAAACAAGTGACAATCTAGAAACTAACCGCCTTTGGATCTTTCACTAGAGTGATTCGCCATCTTAATTTAATTTCTGGTCACCACTATTTGCCTAAAATGGGGCAAAAAAACATTCGTAGTGAAATTAGCGGTTTTTTTAAATTCTAGATGATGCCCTGGAAATCAGTAAAAGGTTCATGCATAATCAATCGCTTATTTGTTAATTTGCCTCATACTGGTGCAACTAACACCCTAAGTGCGGAGTACAAACAAGTAGCAGAATTTAGTGACTAATTTTTATTTAAAAGAAACGCAAAGATTGACTAGTTGGCACTTAATTTAATATTGGGAAGCGACACATTTTACTTGGACAGTGCGACATTTAGGCCAGCCAGCAATGTGCCCTCAGTTATGGACACATACAATCATCCCGACAAACTAATTTCAGAAGGCACATTTTTAATGAGTGCCTTATGGCGCCTAATTTGTCTAAGAACACTTTTCATTAGGCTTTGGTGCGACGGGTTCAATGGTGCAGGTTATGCCGGAGTCGTAGAAACGGAATTTTCACCCACAGTTCAGAACTTTGCCTGCCAATTTCACATTGCCTTAGATGGGTTCGTGCTTGTGTACGGACCTCTAACTACACGATTGCTAAGCAGTTTTAGTAAATTTGGAGAACACCTTAATGGTTAGCACAAATAATTCACATCGATTCGAGCATTGCCCTGCTGATATAAGGCAATCCAATTGAAGATTTAACTTGTACCAAGGGATGTGTTCGGTTAGTGAATCTTTTTTCCCCGTGTTTCGAGTATTCCATTGGGGAAGAATTTTTCTCATGGCATGATGCAAAAAGGCAGTCCCATAACCTTTCCCAGATTGGTGGGCAGTGGCGCATTGGCGCTCTGCTGACGTCTCTCCACCTCGACATTTTGCACAGCGTACACAACTGTTCGCTAAAAATCAGTGAACTGAACACGCAGACAGGCAAACGCACACTGAACCGCATCTCACAACTCCTCGATCTCTCATGATTGAAGTCTGGGGCGGAATATGTTTGTCTCTCGAAAGTCAACCATCACATATTTCGGTTGAATTCTCCAGAAAAATGCAGTTTTTCAACTGCGAATTTCTCGAGGGCGTCGAAAACTGTGCTCTTGACGCATTCCAGTCGGGTATTATTGCAATGATTTTTTAAAACCTTAGAACGACAATTGCTGGTAGGTCAATGTGGGTAACGTCAGATACAGACTAGTAGAAAATCCAAACATGTTGCTGTGAGTGGGCGAAAAATCACAATCAAGGTTATAAAACAGCATTCATTGACCTTGTAAGGGCTTTTATTAAGTGCTACCATTCCTAGACAATCGTCCTTGCACGTAAACTAACCCAAGGAGAAATACCTAACGCTAGGTAAAGACATCACCCAATTGATTTGCCTACAGCAGTATGTTCGGAAGATTCTAAAAGGTAATTTGGACAAATGTCCAAACTGAAAGTCGAATGAGCCACTAAAAGAGTACTAAAATGTAGCCCGAAATGAACCGTTTCTGGTCTGATGCATAAACGAAATGGCTTCTAGGCGTACGTACATGATTGGCAGTGTTAGATTTTGTAATTATTTAAGCCACGGTTTTTTTTAACTCACTTCAAATATACCCAGAATAGTTTAATTGACGTCCGACATGAAGTTACCGTAGTTTCTGCAACGGTTTACCGGTGCACAGATGCAAGGTCCTAATGCAAGCAATCAAACCCCAACGATAACCCTCGCACCGAAACACAAATGAGTCACCACCACCACCACCACCACCACCACCACCACCACCACCACCACCACCACCACC